CTGCATGCATTATTCGCCGATACATCTCACAGTCCTAGACCTATAAATATAGTCCTATATTTACTTAACAAACTGACCTGCCTGCTCCTATCTCATGTTGTCCCAGAACAAAACTGTGCCTGGGCCCTTCTGGTGGAAAGTAATGGTGTCTGGGCTATGGAGAAAAAAGCCCCACTACCTCTGTCCAAGCTGTGATGGATACAAAAAGCAGAACTTCTCACATTCCCTTCAGGACCAATACAGAGAACAGCATAACTCCTTGCAGACACACTCCTTTACCTTGGAATTGCTTCAGAATAGTGGCTGGATCAAGATTTTGATCACAAAGCTCCTGGATCTTCCAACTCAGTTCTGGAGGAGAAGCCACTGACTTAAATGTTTCCTTCTTCTCACTCCTAGTAGAGAAAAACAAAGTTAACTTGCCACCAATCCAGCCCAGAATCTCTAAGACGCCTTCTACACTTCCATATAATCCAGATTATCAAAGCAGATAATCCACATTATCTGCTTTGAACTGGATTATTTGAGTCCACACTGCCATATAATCCAGTTCAAAGCTGATAATCTGGATTTTATATGGCAGTGTAGAAGGGACCTGAGTGGAGCAAAATAAAAGAATTTAAAGGAGGAAGAAAACTCCCAAGGATTTGCAATACACATTGTGGAGATTTTTTTTTCTTTAATTTTGGCTCCCAAAACACCAAAGCCAAACGCTGGAGGACAAAAAGAATAGAAAGACAGTGTCTTTCCATCTCTGTTCTTTTCCTAAATTACTGCCAAAGTAACATGTGAAAGAAAAAGAAGGCATCCTTGCTGGTAACATTAAAATACTAGACAGAAACTTTGTTTTGATACCAGAAAGCCTTAAAATCATATATGTGAGAGAAGGAACATGGTTTATAGAACTGGGTGGAGATGTCTTCAGGGCATTTGGTTCTCAAGTGGCCCAAATGGCAATGAAAGCATGAGCCTGAGCATTCATTTAATGGCAATGAATCAATGAGCAAAAATAAAAATAAAAAATAGGTATTTTCTTTTACACAAAAGCATTTATGGTAGTGAGTTTTTGCTTTCTCTTGGCAAAACTTGGGAATGCTTGCACCCTTTGTTGCTTGAGTGCGGTGTTCTCTGAACACTTTTCCTCCTTTTGTGGCAAGAGGAGCTCTTCCTTTCCTCCAACACAACCACTCCCACTCCTAAAGAAATTCTTCCACAAAGTGCTAAATTTCTTTAAACCAATGTATCTCTTCTTGACCCAGGGTTTTTTTAAGCCTCTACAGCGTGAATCCTGTAGATAAGGTATGCTGGGCAAGCCTTTGTTACAACAGGGTGTGCTTTTGGGGTTGCAGTGATGCCTTCCATAACCTACCTCAAGTCGATGGTGCCAGGATGCACTAGCTGGGCAATCAGGAGCGATATTAATAGTGATATTGTAGATAAATTATGTTTAGAGGCATTCTGTGATATACATTTAAAAACAGGGTGTTTTACATCTCATGCTTACAATCATGGAATCACCATAGACGCACTTGCAATTCTCTGTCTCTCTTTCTCTCTTTTTAGGTTCTTTGATATCTTCTGAAGTACTTTCAACCTAACAAGAACTTTCAAGAAATGGTTGTGATGTTTTTGTATGCCATTTAAGGGCATTAAGTACCTGACTCCAATAGACAATGCTCACATTTAAGGTGGAATCAGGTGTCAAACAGGGATGTGTTATTGCCCCAACCTTATTTTCCATCTTCATCGCTATGATACTTCATCTTGTTGATGTGAAGCTTCCCACCGGAGTGGAAATCATCTATCAAACAGATGGCAGGCTATTTAACCTCAGTACACTGAAAGCCAAAACCAAGGTTACAACAACATCTGTTATAGAACTCCGTTATGCTGATGACATCGTCTGATGGAATCTTCTTCTTTGGAGGCTTTTAAACAGAGACTAGATGGCCATCTGCCAGGAGTGTTCTGATTGTGTGTTCTTGCATAACACAATGTCCCATCTCAACCTGTCCTGCCTCAACTTGAGAGTGCCAGGATGCATTATCTCAGCCAAACAGTGACTAGAGAAACAGGGTGTAAGAGGTCTATCTGGATGCAGTTTTGCACCTGGGAAAAAAGAATCCTTGAATTTTTCTTTCCAGACCTCCAGCATCCTGACTGGTTGAGAGTTGCCCCCTGGTGCCATCAAACTGTGTTAAACCCCAGGCAACAACCAGGCATCCATTAGAAATATCCTGGGAGGAGACCATGCTCTGCCAACAGGCAATACCAGCTCAGCCAAAGTCCATGTGCCTCCCTACCTGTTACCCCCATTGCCAAAATTACTATTGCACTACCAAATCCCAATAGCAATTGGAGAGAGAAACCCAACAATTACTTTTTTTTTCAAGATACAAAAGGAGTGCTCCACTGGGGATAAATATTGCTGATTAAATAAATTTAACAAGAGTAGTCAGGGAAAGGTCTCCAGCCTTTTGTGACACAGTCTTCATTGTGCCAGTGGCACTAGTTTCAGGACAGGAGTGCCATAAGTTCAAAAAGCAAGGTAATATGTTTATCTATGGCCTCCTCGGTCTTCCTTGGAATGTCAGAAGATCACGGTGTCTACCTGCTATATCCAGCCTCTTCCAGGATTAGGAAGCACTAAACACAACTGACCAGGATCAACTTACCTCTGCGGAAGGCTCTTTGCAACCTAGAGGAGAGAAAAGAGGAAGAGCAACATTATTGCTGAGCTAATCCATTCTTTTCCTAATACGAAGGCTCTCTGAACTTCTGAACTGAAAATAGGCAGATGTGAAAATGCAATAAAGAAAAAAAAGTAGTACAAGAGTTTCCTGAGATTTGTGTTAAGTTGAACATGTTCAAAATATTCTAAGCCATGTTCCAAACCATCTGCTAACAACAGCCAGAACACCAGAATAGGACAAAAATGTAGGGGCAGAACAAGTGTGACATGGATAGTTTGGAAACAGTGCATTCTTTTTTTGGTGTGTGTGTCTGTGTCTGTGTGTATCTTATTCTTTGTGCTTAACTGCTGACCTTGCAAGTTTTTGAGAAATTCTATATAAAGTTGGTATCATTGTTTGGTTAGGATGGAAGCAAGGTTTTTAAAGCCAGATTTCAACTGGCATTGTAAAGTACAAGGCAGGGGTCCTCAAACATTTTTAAAAGAGGCCCAGTTCAAAGTCCCTCAGACAATATCTGCTTTCAGGCCTGTAGCAAGGGTTTTTTTTAGGGGTTCACCCCCCCCCCAAATTTTTCAGGTTAAAAAAAAAACCTGGTTTACTCATGAATTTTAACTGGTTAACCAAATCCCCATGCTAAGTCTATGAGACGCAAAAAATTAAGAGTCCCTCCAGAACTGCAAGCACTATCTCAAGCAAATATTGACAATTTATTCACACTGTCATTACTTGCAGCAATAGCCGATGTAGCGAAGCAACCAAGTTGGGGGGGGGATGTTGAATGCTCTCATTAAGGAGGCCAGACTTGGTGGAGGTGGTTGACAGGGGTGGAGCTGCAGGCTATTGAAGGCTGCTCTGCCCCCTGCTGTGCTCTTTGCTTCAGTGTGAGCTAGGAGGCAGGTTTACCCCCCCCCCGCCCCTGAAATTTTCAAACCCCCCCCCCACGAACCTCTTCTACACAGCTGAATAAAATTCCACATTTTCTGCTTTGAACTTGAATATATGGCAGTGTGGACTCAGATAACCCAGTTCAAAGCAGATATTGTGGATTTTCTGCCTTGATATTCTGGGTTATGTGGCTGTTGAAGGGCCCCTAGAATGTCAAGGCAGATAATCCACAATATCTGCTTTGAATTGGGTTATCTGAGTCCACACCGCCATATAATCCAGTTCAATGTGGATTTTATACAGCTGTGTGGAAGGGGCCAGACACCAAAAGGAGGGACTGATGGTATTGTAGTTCTTCTCATCAATATGTTGTGGGCCTTGAGCCCACTACACTATGATTGATACAGGTTGAGCATCTCTCTTATCTGAAAATCTAAATTCCAAAAACTGTAATAGTTCACACGGGTGACTGAGACAGTGATACTGTTGTTTTCTAATAGTTCAGTGTAGACAAACTTTGTTTCATGCATAAAATTATTTAAAACAAAACATTTTGGATAAAAATATATTTAGTCCACGGGCATAAAGTGTATGTGAACCACAGATGAATGTCATATTTGCACTTGATTCCCATCTCCAAGATACCTCATTGTTTACATATTTGCAAATACAAATATTACAAACAAATTTAAAAACCCAAAACACTTCTGGCCAAAAGCATTTCAGATAGGACAAGGATTCTCATCCTACACACAAAACCTTTGTATTGCTTTCCATTGGCAAGTGGCTAGGTTTGTTTTGTCCAGTCTTACCTGCAGGAGTTCATCTTGCATCTTCAGGATGAGGTTTTCCAGAGAGGAAAGTTCCTGGTCATTTTGCTTCACTCCAATCTGATGCTTCATCTCTTCTATCTGGGTCCAGAGATGCTTATTCTGCTTCTCCAGAAACCAACACCCTCGTGTGATTTCTCCTATTATTTTTTCCATCTCTGCATTTTCCTGGTTCTGCAGTAAACAGAAGGAAAGGGAAGGAAATAAGTCTCAGATTAGGATTGGGTTGCTGAGGTGGAAAAGTAGAAAGGGTTATGATGGCCAAGTAGAAGAGAGAACTGGAACAGATATTAGGTAAGGTAAAGGTAAAGGTTTTCCCCTGACATTAAGAGCCACCGTTGTCCTTAGACATCTCCAAGGTCATGTGGCCGGCATGACTTCATGTAGCACCGTTACCTTCCTGCTGGAGTGGTACCTATTGATCTACTCACATTTGGCATGTTTTCAAACTGCTAGGTTGGCAGAAGCTGGGGCTGACAGCAGGAGCTCACCCCACTCCCTGGATTCGAACCACCAACCGTTCAGTCAGCAAGTTCAGCAGATCAGCAGTATAATCTGCTGCTACCAGGAGGCCTATTTTAATTACCTCTGCATTTTTTAAATTAACAGGCACTGTCCTTATAAACACTGAAATATTCTTTTTAAAAAATGGATTTTGAAAATTATTCATTTATTTATTATTTATCAGATTTATATACCGCCCCTCTTAGCCCAGAGGTGACTTGGAGCGGTTCACAACTGGCAAGAATTTGATGCCTCAACAATTAAGAAAATTCTAGTCTTTTCCTATTTTGTGTATTGTGAGATTTTTCCCTTGATATTCTGAGTTATATGGCTGTGTGGAAGGGCCCTGAGAAGTCCCAAAAGGATGAAATCAGCGACAATTATATATACTCTTGATCACTGAGCTATTTGTAACTTGAGATTACTAAAACTTGGGGGGAAGTGAATAAATTGCATTGTACAGTCCGATCACATCAACCAATTATAAAGGAACCTTTGTAGGAAGGAGAAAGAGAGAGAATGGGTTGTAGGTTTTTTGGGTTATATGGTCATATTCTAGAAGCATTGACTTTTCAACTACATCTATGGCAGGCATCTTCAGAAGCTGTGGGGTCTGTTGGAAACTAGGAAAACTGGGTTTATATATCTGTGGAATGTCCAGGGTGGGAAAAAGAACTCTTGTCTGTTGTCTTGAAGGTTGGAGCTAGGATGCCTGCCCTAGATGGAGGCAAAACGTCAGGAGAGAATGCTTCTAGAATATGGCCATACAGCCTGAAAAACCTACAACACCCCAATGATTCCAATGACACCCCAATGATTCTCTATTTGACAATAGAGAGATAATGGTCTTTACACCTCTTCTTGCAAGTAATTATTATTTCTAGCTTGTTTTTAAGGATTTATAATATGATTGCCTCTACTGAGAACATCCCAGGAGGCTTCTGTAAGTATTTCCTTTTACATCTAATTGCATAAAATCTTTTTTTTACCTTGCAGTCTGGAGCATCATGCCCCAATGCGATGAGCCTATGATCCTGGTGCTCCTTGTCCAGCAGAGATGTATAGGTTTCATCATCTTCATAGTCATTTTTCTGAGGTTCCTGCTTTCTCCCCTTTTCTCCTTCATAGTTTGGATTAAGGTTCTTCACTGCTGCGACAATGTTAGCCAGCTGCCAGTTTTTTCTGAGATTCTTTTGCAGAACTTTCTCCCTGCAGAAAGGGCAGGAGGCATCTGTGTTGGCCGACTTCTCCCAGCACTGGGTAAGGCAGGCTCCACAGAAGTTGTGCCCACATTCTAGGGTCACAGGATCCTTGAAATAATCCAGACAGATGGAACAAATGGCTTCCTCCCAGGGATTCTCAGTAGCACCAGCACCTGCCATGGCCTGGTTATGAAAAAAAAAAAAGAAGCTACTTTCACTTTCTGACAGGGCATTCCAGGAAATGACGCACTCAGCACTACGAAATCAGCCTGCCTTAAATAGGACATGACCTAGGGCAGTGGTTCTCAACCTTTCTAATGCCGTGACCCCTAAATACAGTTCCTCATGTTGTGGTGACCCCCAAACATAAAATTATTTTTGCTGCTACTTTTACTACAGTTATGCACTGTAATGTAACTATCTGATGTGCAGGATGTATTTTTATTGATACAAATTGAACATACTTAAAGCATAGTGATTCATCACAAAAACAATATGCTTGGGGGAGTATGGACAACAGATGATGGGATTTGCAATACCTCCAACTGATTCAGATCTGACTTCCACATACCACTGAGACCCCCACAAATTACAGACCTGGACCAAACTTGGAACAGAGAACCCCCATGACCAACAGAAAATGCAGGAGGGGTTTGGGAGGAATTGACAGTGATTTTGGGGAGATGTAGTTCACCGACATCCGGAGAGCAAACCGAAATAACTATGGACCTGGACCAAACTTGGCAGGAATACTCATACATGCCCAAATTTGAACACTAGTGGAGTCTGGGAAAAATAGACCCTGACATTTGGGAGTTGCAGTTGCTTGGAGTTATAGTTCAGGAAGGAGGAGGAAGAAGAGCCCAGGGGAGAAGGAGGACGGCAGGCAGGAAGAGAACGGCGCAGGCCAGCAGCAGCACTTGCCCTTCTTCTTCCCCTCCAGGGTCTTCCTCCGCCTCTTCTCCATTTGGAGAGGCCAAACGGAGAGGAGGAGGAGGAAGAAGAGGGCAGAGGAGAGGGAGGAAGGCAGGCAGGCTTCCCTGCTGCTGCTGCCCCGCTCTCCTCTTGCTGCTTTTCCAAGCTTCCACCAGAAGTGGGGGCCTGGAAGGGCAGCGCGAGGAGCGCGGGGCAGGGAGGCAGCACGGAGGTCTGCCTGCCTGCCTGCTTCTCCTCCAGGGTTTTCCTCCGCCTCTTCTCCGTTTGGAGAGGCCAAACGGAGAGGAGGAGGAAGAGGGCAGAGGAGAGGAAGGTAGACTTCCCTGCTGCTGCTGTCCTCTCGCTGCTTTTCCAGGCTTCCACCCAAAGTGGAGGCCTGGAAGGGCAGCACGAGGACAGCAGGGCAGGGAGGTAGCACGGAGGTCTGCCTGCCTGCCTGCTTCTCCTCCAGGGTCTTCCTCCGCCTCTTCTCCGTTTGGAGAGGCCAAATGGAGAGGAGAAGGAGGAGGAGGAAGAAGAGGGCAGAGGAGAGGGAGGAAGGCAGGCTTCCCTGCTGCTGCCCCGCTCTCCCCTCGCTGCTTTTCCAGGCTTCCACCAGAAGTGGAGCGCAGGGCAGGGAGGAGCGCGGAGCAGGGAGGCAGCAAGGAGGCCTGCCTGCTTCCCCTCCAGGGTCTTCCTCCTCCTCCATTTGGGGAGGCCAAACAGAGAGGAGGAAGAGGCCAGAGGAGAGGGACGAAGGCAGGCTTCCCTGCCGCTGCTGCCCCGCGCTCCTCTCGCTGCTCTTCCAGGTTTCCACCAGAAGTGGATGCCTCGAGGGGCAGTGAGAAGAGCGCAGGGCAGGGAAGCAGCAGAAAGGCCTTTTCTCCTCTCCATTCTCTTCTGGTGGTTAATCCAAATGGAGGTACAGGCCTTGCTGCGGGGGACGTGGTCTCCTCTTCTTCCTCCTCCTCCTTGCCGCCAGATTCGCCTCCCGCCGGGCCTGGGCCCTCCTGCGTTGCCTCTGGGGCCCCGGTAGCAATTGCAAGGAGGTGGAGGGGGTGGGGCCAAAGAAGGTGTTGTCGCGACCCCTCGGAAATGGCCAATCGACCCCTCTGGGGGTCGCGACCCCCAGGTTGAGAACTGCTGCTCTAAGGCCACATGCAACATATAATCATAAAATCCTAGAGTTGGAAGAGACCTCGTGGGCCATCAATCCCCTGCCAAGAAGCAGGAACATTGCATTCAAAGCACTCCTGACAGATGTCCATCCAGTCTCTGCTTAAAAGCTTCCAAGGAAGGATCCTCTACCCCATTCCGGGGCAGAGAGTTCCACTGCTGAACAGCTCTCACAGTCAGGAAGTTCTTCCTAATGTTCAGGTGGAATCTTCTTTCTTGTAGTTTGAAGCGCCATTAAAGCCTTGGCAGACCGTGCAAAAAGAATCTGCGAACCCCACCTCCATCAAGATGAACTAAACCACCTCAACTGGGCTCTACAGGCCAATGGATACTCCACCTCAGACATCAGAAGATCTACAAGACCAAGAACAAGCCACGAGAGTAAAGATGAAGATCCACCCAGAGGAAAAGTGTTCTTGCCATACATCAAGGGAACCACTGACCGCAGAGGAAGCTGATGAGGAAACACAACATACAAACTATCTACAGACCCACCAAGAAAATCCAACAAAAGCTACGTTCAGCAAAGGACAAGAGGGATCCTCTCACTTCTGCAGGAATCTACCGTATACCATGCAGCTGTGGACAAGTCTACATAGGGACCACCAAATGCAGCATTGCCCAAACACGAATCAAGGAACATGAAAGGCACTGCAGACTACTTCAACCAGAGAAGTCAGCCATAGCAGAGCACCTGATGAACCAACCTGGACACAGCATATTATTTGAGAACACAGAAATGCTGGACCACTCTCACAATCACCATGTCAGACTACACAGAGAAGCCATTGAAATACACAAGCATGTGGACAATTTCAACAGAAAGGAGGAAACCATGAAAATGAACAAAATCTGGCTACCAGTATTAAAAAACTCTAAAATTGCAACAGCACAACAACAGAGAGGAAGCAGGCAGGGACATCTAATTACCTCTCAACAAAAGTTTGCTCCAGGCACAGTCAGCCCATTGTATGCTAATCAAGGTGGTCAGTTGAAACATTCACACCTAGCTCCAGCAGACAAGAGTCCTTTGTCTCACCCTGGTCATTCCACAGATATATAAACCCTTTTCCTAGTTCCAACAAACCTCACTACCTCTCAGGATACTTGCCATAGATGCAGGCAAAACGTCAAGAGAGAATGCCTCTAGGTCAGGGGTCCACAAACTTTTTAAACCGAGGGCCAGGTCACAGTCCCTCAAACTGTTGGAGGGCCGGATTATAATTTGAAAAAAATGAATGAATTCCTATGCACACTGCACATATCTTATTTGTAGTGCAAAAAACACTTAAAACAATACAATAATTAAAATGAAGAACAATTTTAACAAATATAAAATTATTAGTATTTCAATGGGAAGTGTGGGCCTATTTTTGGCTGATGAGATAGGATTGTTATTGTTGTGTGCTTTCAAGTCGTTTCAGACTTATGTTGACCCTGAGCGAGGGCCGGGTAAATGACCTTGGAGGGCCGTATCTGGCCCCCGGGCCTTAGTTTGGGGACCCCTGCTCTAGACCATGGCCATATAGCCCAAAAAAACCTACAACAACCCAGAAGCCATTGTTCTGCGTCCTAGTCTCCAGGACAGCAGAAAACAAGCCTGCTCCCTCCTCCCCATGACTTCCCCTCACATATTTATACATGGCTATCATGTCTCCTCTCAGCCTTCTCTTCTTCAGGCTAAACATGCCCAGCTTTAAGCCGCTCCTCATAGGGCTTGTTCTCCAGTCCCTTGATCATTTTAGTTGACCTCCTCAGGCCACATTCCAGCTTGTCAATATCTCTCTTCAATTGTGGTGCCCAGAACTGGACATAATATTCCTGGTCTAACCAAAGCAGAATAGAGGGGTAGCATGACTTCCCTGGAATTAGACACTCGGCTCCTATTGATGCAGGCCAAAATCCCATTGGCTTTTTTTGCCGCCACCTCACATTGTTGGCTCATGTTTAACTTGTTGTCCACGAGGACTCCAAGATCTTTTTCACATGTACTGCTCTCTAGCCAGGCATTGTCCCCCATTCTGTATCTTTGCATTTCTTTTTTCCTGCCTAAGTGGAGTATCTTGCATTTGTCCCTGTTGAACTTCATTTTGTTAGTTTTGGCCCATCTCTCTAATCTGTCAAGATCGTTTTGAATCCTGCTCCTGTCCTCTGGAGTATTGGCTATCTCTCCCAATTTGGTGTCATCTGCAAACTTGATGATCATGCCTTCTAACCCTTCATCTAAGTTATTAATAAAGATCCTGAACAGGACCATACATGTTCTATTTACAGCCCCCCCCCCCCCCAATATTCATTGTTTCACCATCTGCTGATTTGATTCTTCAGGGATTTCCCACTGTCCAACTTTGGACAGCTTTTCCCCCCTATCCCGAACAGAATAGCACTTGATTCAGGTTTTTTTGATCAGAAAGATAGGAATGGCCATCTGTTGAGAGTGCTTTGAATGCAATTTTCCTGCTTCTTTGCAGGGGGGTGGGGTGGGTTGGGTGGCCCACGAGGTCTCTTCCAACTCAATGATTCTATGATTCTATGAATGTAGACTGCAGTGCATTAATTACCCCCAAACTTAGGCTCTGTTTCCTATCTCTATGAACTAAGGAGCCAGGGGACTAAGGAACTCATCACAGTAGAGCATCTATCCACTTTAAATCCAGTTTCTGCCTCCTGCTGATTTCTGGGATTTGTAGTTTAGGGAGGGACCTTTATACTGTTCAGTCAGAGAGGTCCTTAGTCTCACCAGGGACCTCTCTTGATGAAACCCCAGAATTCTGCAGAAGGCGGAAACTAGATTTAAAGTGGATAGATGCTCTAGTGTGATGACGTCCTAAATGCCTGACAGCTAGGCACCACCAACCCCCTTGCAAAAATCACACAACCCTCTGCTTCTATTCCAGGAAGAGAGGAAGCAGGGTTGAGGTCATTCCTTTCACGCTCTCTCAAAATAGACTAAGCTCCTGTTTGACACTGGGAGCTTCTGCTGTGCAGAAAACCCCCAGAAGTGGTACTTCTCCTCTGCTTTCTTCCAAGGAAAAGAGAGAGAGAGAAAGTAGAATAGGCATTGTTTATTTCAGTTCTCTCAATATGGG